GTAGAGAGAGAGAGAGAGAGAGAGAGAGAGAGAGAGAGAAAGAAGAGAGGAGAGAGAGAGAGAAAGAGAAGGAGAGGGGTAAAATTATACTGCTCATGCACAACAGCTCTCATTTCTCACATTGATCTTTAGGTATAAGTTCAATTGAAGCCAAGATCGAAAATTAGCCTTTAATAAACCGATTTAAAATACCGAAATACTATAAGAAGTTTGAACAGACTTACATTTATATGAAAGTAATGAGGATTAATTCATGATAAGTGTATCGTTAAGCAACTAATTTCATACTTTAAGTGGCTATTCAGTTAGATTACTATGATGCCGACAAAAGCGATCACATTGGGTCAAGAAGGATTCATTGATCATTTGATAATGACCCAACGATGACATTGGACAGTATAATTAATCTCATCCAACCGAATCCATTCTAAATGACAATTCTTTTTTTTGAAAACATAAAAAACAAAATAAAATTAAAAAAACTTGAAAAACATGGTTATATGTTTATTTCTTCCTGAAAAAAAAAAATTTCCGACAATAATGGTCAAATAACTCACTCCAAACTATCATAACAAAAGAAGCTTAGATTGGTTTTACATTGATTGTTTTGAACCAGATCATTCCGCCTTTCTGGCTACTTCAAACCGGATCATCCCGCCTTTCTGGCTGCATTGAACCGGATCTTTCAGACATTTCTCGATATTTAAAACCTTTCTATGTCTAAATATTATGTGAAACTTTTGACATGTTATTTTTCTGCGTTACAATTGTGACATTATTTCAATTAATTGTTATAATCAAATAATCCTTTTTTCACATTTTTTTTTTTTAATTTCAATGCACTAACACCTTCCATCAATTATATTTATTGCTAATGAGCAATGAAAGGTAAGGAATTTTTTGAACTCTAATGAGGATAATATTTATATAAACGAACATTTTGCATATTTATGTTAATTTTCTGCCGCTTTTCTCTGTTTAACCTAATTTTTGATTTGATTTTTTTTTTTAAACTTATTATAATTTATTTTCATTTGAATCATTTTATGTTACGAATAAAATATTAAATTATATAGTTAGAAATTATCCTTCTGAAGGGAAAACTTTTTTGTCGTATCATTTATCACCATGTTTTATCATTATCATAATATTTAGATGATAAAAATACAAATTATTTCTCATCGGCTAATGTTTCCTTTTAATTACTGCTTTTAAGCAAATTAAATAAGATGAAAAATCAAATATAATTTTGCGGAAAGAAATTTAATGAATTTATTGAATAAATTGAATGCACTTTGCATTTTTTATGAATTAGTTTCAACATATCAGAATTGATTGATAATTTGATTTTTACTCTATAGATGATTTTTAATCTTCACTGAAACTAACTTTGAATTTAATAATCAAGTATATCTGGTATATACATCCCTGATTTATATGCAAGCATGAGAAATCATTGCAGGTATACTTAACTAATTAGAATAGTCACAAAAGTGAGATCAGATTTAAATCATAAATTATTTTTCATCTGTAAATTTTAGTGTAGTAAATGCGCTAAATGTATGATTGGTTAATAATTAATTGTGAAGAAATTTGGTATTATCAATTGATACACTATAAGGAACAAACAATTTAATCAATTTTGGAATTTAATTAACGGGATATTTTTGAAAAGTGCCATAAATTATGCAATTAAAGATTTCAAATTTGATGAATGTACCATTTCATAAATCATTAAATAAACAAATAATATTATAATATTTGGTGAGAATTGAAAAAGTAATTAAATAACATTTGTTTTAACCAAATTTTGCAAAAATTTTTACAAAAATAAGCAAAACGAAACTAAGAAACAGATTGGAATTTCAATTAATTTCCAATTAACAACAACAAGCATCAGTCTACCTCAAATGACGAATCGATATCAAAGCCAGCGTAAGCGCTCCAAATTAGCTTGTTATGAGTGCATGAACAATTCGAACTTTATATATAAATGGTAGCATTAGCAAGTTATGTAGATTGCAAGCAGAATGCATGCATTGCATGAAAATGCTGTTAATTTTATCAATACAACTTTTATTTTCTTATTCAAAAAATGAAACGGATCAATAGGATGAAAAAATGAAGATAGACATCAATCCAACTGGTTAGAGAATAATCTAGCTAATGCTCAAAAGCTTGAGAAATATCACTAATCAAGGTGACAAACAAATTTGATTCACAGAATGTCACACCTGCTATAATGTAAACTAAAATAACTGTCATTGCACTGAAATGCTTGCATAATGCCATTCATAATTCATCTGAAATAATGGTACTGTTAGCAAAACAGTACTAACTGCTATCAATTATCTGATATTTCTAAAATCTTTTGCTGTTACTATTCGATTATTTAGTATTTCCGGAATCTTTTGTAAATTTTATCATTTATCCATCAATTCATTAAGCCATCCAAAAAAAAAAAAAAAAAAAAAAAAAAAAAAAAAACAAACATCACTGATGGCTTCAATTTATATGAATGCGTCATTTTCCTAATCATATATCCTGATAAATTGAATCATTTCGATAATGTTTGGATTAACTGGAAAATTTCAAAGACGTCGTGAATCTGATTTCGAACAAGGTTCATTTCATTCTTTTATGGAAGTATTTGTGAATATTATAAACAGAAGTTTTTTTGTTTTTTTTTTGACATATATTTCAATTTTTTAAACTTTTATCAATACTTTAATCATAAATGTTGTTTTTTGAAATTATTTTTAGTGAAGATAAATAATTATTTAAAAGTGATAACAGATGTATACTAATTAATGATAAGAAATATATGCAAATTAATTAGTTTCTATGCAATTAACAAAATTTATAATAAATTTGATTTCATTTAATGCAAACTGTGTTATCATTGATTTATTAATTAGTACAAAACATCATTTTTATATATTAACATTTACTTACTAAATTACGAGAAAAGAAAAAAGTGTGGAATTTTTAAGTACGTTCAGAATTTTTTTTTCTTTTCAGAATCCAATTTAACAATTAATCCAAAAAATAGCTACCAAAAATCAAAATATGAAAGAGAGAATGGATATAAAAATGAATCAAAATGGTCTTCCAATTGGAGCAATGATACATCGAATGCATCATCAGGACATCCTATAACATTTGAAGTAGCAAGCAGGTAGTAATACCTATTCATTTCTAAATTTTAACCTTATATTTTTAACTTTTCAAACTATCATTAAAATTATAACTGAACAAATTAATAAGACTATGATTTCATCTTTTCCTGTTTAATCGATAAATTATGATTAATTTGAATTTGATAGTTAAAGCTTTGTATTTCATATGAAAATCGATTACTTAAAGTATTTTCATGTTCAACTTAACATCCAATAATACTGATAAAATTACTAATGAAATACAATTTCAAGTAAATTTTTATCACTTTTTAGAAACATTTTCATGTAAATTGATGTTATTTGACGAGAAATCCCGCATCGAATGATGAATCAATTCGAAAAATTAATGTAGTGATTATTGAGGATACATATGATATAAATATTTGGGATGAAAAGAGAGGGAAAAAGATGAATATTGAGATTAGAAGAGATCATTGAATTGATTAGTTTATTCTGAATATAAGAATAAATTTCAATTCTATTTGATACTATAAATTTTGAATGTAAAAATTTTTGTTAATACTTCAACATATCTCATAATAGTATAGTGTGATTTATATATATATAATCGTCCAGTTTTGATATTTGAAATGCTGTATTAATCATATAATATTTCATGCAAAATGGGGTAAGTTTTGTATATTTTAAAATTTTCAAATTTTAGATAATGTTAAGAGAATTTTTCAGTTCGTATGGATTTCCGCTAATTAATTAATTAATTTTTTCAGCAGTAAAAGATGGCTTTTATGTATGCTTATTACTGTATCTGTATTACTTCTTTTACTCATTATTACCATAATAATCGCATATGCTACAAATTGTAAGTGATTTGTTTTGATGTTTTATTATGAATAGATGAATTTATGTATCTGCGTGAATTTACGCTGAATTTCACGTATCTGCGTGAATTTACGCTAATTCTTTTGTATTATTACATTTTTCTACAATAGAAATGAATTTACTAATAGATGTAATTAGCATATAATCATATTTTATTCAATATGATTGATGGCTATGACTTAAATTGTACTTAAATTAAATTGGACATGAAATGATTAGTGAATTAATCTATTTTGAAAATTCACCAAATTAAACATAAAATTGAATGTGATCGTTTGTGAGATATGAAATGATTAATGATCTAAATGTGACATATCAAATATTAAATATTTAAGTTCAATTAAATTAAAACTATTTAAGAATGCTTAAACAAAATAAGGATTTAATGGAAAAAAATTTAATCTTTTCAGTGTTAATTATCAAATTTCCACCATCATCACCAATATCATCTACAACATATCAACCAGAACCAATTACTTTTACTCCATTATCTACCCTTCAACCTTTTCCACCTTTATTTCCCACTCCGTTACCACCATATAAGCCACCTATCATTACAATGTTACCATTTCCAACAGATCGACTTCAAAAACGAGTATTTCTCTGCCAGATGTATTTATTAAATCAAGCTAATGAAGCTTATGCAAATCATAATAGCTTCGAGTATCATCAAACATCTCAAAGGATTCAGAATGCGGTATGCTGAATTCCATTTTGAAAACTAAAAATGGATTTTGACGAAGAATCTGACGATCACATAAGTTTTCTCCATTAGTTTTTTAGTTGCTGCAAAATAAGTCCTGGCAATAACATTCTAATGATAATGCAATTATTAACCGGATAAATGACCTCTTTTCCGGTCATTTGAAAGGAGTAAATTTCGATTAAGCTTTTCACTGATCCGGTTTAATTCATCTTTTACCAATATTTTCGCTAGCTTAAATTATCTCAATTACCACAGAGTATATTTTGGTATCCGTTGAATACTCTAATGGCTAGGTTAGATATTTACCAAAAATTTCATCGATATTAATAATTTCTAATGTAATTAAATAAACAAAAAAATAATGATTAAATCCCAAAATTTTTATACAATTCTATTCCAGATAGATAATCAACTTAAGCCAACACCTTTACGGCCGTACCTGGAAAACGTTCACGTATGGTATTTATACAACAGGTAAAATTAAAATTATTTTATTCTATAAAATAAATTATTCATAACAGTTTATCTATAACAATTAACATTTATCTCATATGTAATTTGCATTTTTTTTTTTTCATTTTCCAGTGGTCCTCATCTTGCCGTAGAATTTTCACTCATAATGCTTATACCATCACATGCAAATATTGGTTTAACATCTGTCAAAAATGTTTTCCTCAGTATATTACCGGGAATTGAAGATCAACTGAATGGTACCTATATCGACAGAAATAGCATTTCGATACAGTATCTTCATATTTAATTTTTGTTTCTTTTTCTTTTCTCTTTTTTTCTACTCGGTATTTCATATTGTAAATCTATTATTTTTGGCAGTATTTAGTAAAAAAAAAACAGCAGAGTTGTGGAAAAAATAAAGGAATCCGGAATTAATCTAAACGGTTATGATATGATCAGAAATATTTTATAAACGGAAGAAAATTAGCTGAAATAAAAGAAATTAAGCAGGAAAGGTTAAATTTAAAAAAAAATGTTAGAAGAAAGAAGTAATTTTAACAATTAAAAGAAATAGAATATTGAGGAAAGCAAATTAATTATGCTTAATATCATAAAAACACTTTTTATCTTTAAAATTTTCAAAATTTATCTGATTTTTTAATCTGATAAGGGTAATTCGATGTTTTCTGCACAAAAAGTATATCAATGAAATGTAAAAAAAAAAAGAAAATTTAATTTAAGAAATTGTGCAATTAAAAATTTCAAGTTCATACATACGTCAATATATGAATAATTATTATTACTATTAATCTCTTTTATCAATTTATAACAGTTCTTTCATCAATGTTTTTTCTCCCTTATCAATGTATAACAACTATTTTATCAATGTCTTTTCATCTTTATCAATGTATGATAGCATTTCAATGTATTTCATGCATATAATTGGAATGGTCAACAAAGCATTAATGTGAGGTTTGCTTGATGTTAAAAAATAAATATCACAATATGATAGGGTAGAGATTATTAGTATTCATTATGTAACAAATGCTATAAGTATCCATTGGAGTGGACAGAAGCCAGATGATAGGTTATTATTAATATCATTATTATTATTATTAGGTATACCAAGGCTTGTGATCTTTCCGAACGATTCTTTCGTTTTCTTTACTTTGCTTCTCTAGTCTGAATGGAATGGATAGAAATAATTTAATGAGAGAATTTATTGAGAAAAATTGAATATCAAATAAATTAAAAATAAAGTCTTTAAAACGTTTAAAGTTTAATTTTTTCTGCAAAAAAAAAACTTTGTATTTATTTCAATATTACAAGAAAAAAAAGTATTTTGTAACAATCTAAGAATGGAATGAATTTTATATTCAATACAATGAAACCTAAAAAGATTTACATCAAATATTATCGCTGTTTATTACATTATGGAAAAAAATTTTTTTTAATCTTTTTTAAATAACAAATTATTAATTAAACCTTTGAAATACGTACATTTTTTAGTAATTGCCTATTATTGAGTAGTTTATTTTCGTGTAACGGTATGGAAGCTTCCAAATCGCGTAATACAATAATTCGATCGCCTTGGCGCAAATGTTCATCTTTCTTCAATTGTTTGAATGTATTACTCAATGAAACGCCGAAATGTGACAGCAATGTGCTACAGCAACAACCACAACATCTTAAGCAATAATATATTTTAAATTGAACAATTTCATTTAATTCTTATGAAAATTTATTGGAATATTTTAGCACAGACATATTAAACGAAACAAATATTTGATCCATTTAATTACTTAATTATGTATATTCGATCTGTCAATGTTGATCAATTCAGTCGGGAATAGTTGAATGCATAGGGGCGAAAGTTTGAGATGAATTTCTGGATAAATCATTCAATCAATATCGTCACAATTACCAAGACTATCTGATTACTGACAAGATGATAATGATAACATATTCTGAACATAGTATCAAATTTGGAAAGTTATTTAAAAAATAAAAAAAACAAAAAAAATGAAA